AGGTTTCATTTATGTTGAAGCGGGTGCATAATATATTAATATGCATAATGAAAATGTTTCATTAGGATGAAACCGGTGCATAATATATTAATGTTCATTTGAAAATGTTTCATTTATGATGAAGCGGTTGCATAATATATTAATATGCATAATGAAAAWGTTTCATCATAATGAAACCGGTGCATAATATATTAATGTTCATATGAAAATGTTTCATTTATGATGAAGCGGGTGCATAATATATTAATATACATAATGAAAAGGTTTCTTCGCATAGAGATGGATTTTGTCCCAAAATCATTTATTATACAAATTTACATCTTTAAAACGAAAAATGCAGAAATGGATTACCTGTAGAATCATTAACGACTCTCTTCTTGCCTCTCTTCTTCATTTGTTGGTTAATGAAATCAAAGTCGTTACCTTCATCATCGAGTTCAACGGGTCTGTCTTTATCGTTAGTAAACTTTGAAAAACTATTCATCTCCCTCAATCTATAGCTAAAACGCCTCCTACCTGTAAAAGACCAAGGGATTACAATGCGTCAATGATCTCCAATTTCATTGTTCGGTTTGTATAAAATCGAAAACGATATCAATAAATATGACATACTTCCATTATTGCCGACCATTTTTCTTGAATATACTGCTGATCGATGTTTTTGGTAACACTATATTCGAAAATGGAGAAAGATCACCTTCCCCGGATTCTCAAGGTTGCATGCGATGAAGACGAGATTAAGATGGAATTGAATCGGAAAAAGAATCGAGGAGTTACAAAATGTTAACTTTGTTTACCAATTTTGCCCTTATGATTGAAATAAAATCAATATTTATTATTTTTTAATTTTTAATTTCCTAAAATAAAGTAAAGTAATCTTAGTCATTGATCAAGAAAATGGATGGATGAGATTGGTTTACACGGTTTACACAAATGGATCAAGTTTTTATTTGAACGCTCCTCTATATATATATATATATATATATATATATATATATATATATGTGTGTGTGTGTGTGTGTGTGTGTGTGTGGATTAATCTGGTTGTATAGATTGAGAAAGTTTTTGTTTAAAAGGTTTTTTCATAGATGGAAGGAGTTTGTTTTTAATTGGGAGGGGCACGTTTGAGAAAAAAACTTTACTTTTTGCATAAAGTTTACCCTCTTGAATAAGTTACTTTGTATATAAAGTGGTTAAACAGTGAAATCACTTTAGTCAAATGGCTATTTATATAAATTTCCCGTTCACTCATCTTGAAATGAATCTTTTTCAAGAAAGAAAAGAAAACAAATCCTGAAATGAAACTAATAACAAATGAACAGAACTTATATATAGAGAGAGACAGTCATGTTCAACAAAAAAACTCAAAAAATAAGCATATGTGCATACAAGTAATCTGATAACACACTGAATATGTACAGGAGCATAACATGCAATAGTGCATAAAAACCAAAAAACCAATGCACGTGTGCATCCAAGATGAATCCCAGGTAAGATTGTCTGAATCTTGTTTATTTAGGTCTGAGAAATCAACAATAGGAAGCTGAAATGGTGCTTTCTGAACCTATCTGGTTTGAATCTTTTTCTTATTAACCTGGATATTCAACTCGTTATATGAGCCGACTAATCTTAGGATGACCACCTGCTTTGCGGGTAGCCTGGAGTCACCACCTTTGAACCTCCGTGGCCACAATGGTATTTTTATTCCTCCTTGGATTTGAACCTGAGACCTCCACGTATTTTTGATCTTTGGAATCCAAGTTCAAACCAATTCGGCACCACCCTTGTGGTTTTGGTTTGAATCTTAGTTTCTAGAACAATGGATTTCTATTTTCTAACTGCTACAAAACCCTTCCTCTTTAAGTGGATTCTTAGGGGCCGTTTACCTAAACACTTACCCGATAAGCACTTACCGGTAAAATTCAACACTATCGTTACTTATTGGGTAAGATTTGAGTCCACCAAAAAGACATTGTATGTAATATTTTACCCGGTAAGCGCTAACCATGGTAAGAGTCATCGTCATCACTTACTGGGTAAGACTCTTGGTCCTTACTTTCGCTCTAACCGGGTAAGATTCTTGGTCTTTGTCATATTCATTCAGTAAGGTAATGTGACTTGGTAAGCGCTTACCCAGGTAAACATTTGGTAAACAGTCATTAGCCTGATTAGAATAATAGAAGATGATATATATGCATGAATTGTAATAGATGTTGACATTCATATAATCATACACCCAGAAAATGACAAGTACACAAATAATTAATCCATAATTATCTTTAGCTAACATCAATGAAGTGGCATAATTGTCAACAAATTATTATATAACCCTAAATCCGACTCATGACCGCGATGACAATGGTTTTTCTAGCAAATCTGCAACGACTTTTAAAGCATGACATGAAAGGCTTTGTCCCGATCTTTTTGAAGGTCATATTATACCTGTGCAAACCTATATAGATATTGACTGGGATCATATACTATATTAAAAGCTTGATCTGGGATCATGTGGGAAAGGTTGTTTTCATGGACACGTGTGACAGGTTTTTTACACTTGAAACTTCACAGCAAAACACCGTGAAAATAACCTTCACATTGTTTTTGCTATGAAGGTTCGGCTTTTTTTTACCTTCACAACGTTTTGTCTCACGTGAACCAACCCTTTTACAAATTAAAACAATAAAAAAGGTATTAAAATGACAAAGTAACATATAAATTCACTGAAACTGAATCATCATGAAGTCTTTCCTTATTTTTATTAGTTTTCATGCTTATTCAAATAAATCGGTTTAATGGTATAATTAAGTTATTATGGCTTCTGATGGTTGCGATTTTTTTAGACGGTCGTAATGCTTATTAAATGCACGTATTCCGTTAGAACATAAATTTGTGTGTCGTTTTCATATGTTTGTTATTGTTTTCTTTGTAACCGATTCTTTTTCTTAACGAACAAGCATCTCAGAAATGAGCATATATGTCTTAATTGATCTGAATGATTAATTGAGAGCTTTTATACATTGCAAAATGAGCACAAAATGCTTATTAATTTCCACATACATGTATATATATATAGTAATAGTAGAATTTAAGCATATATATATATATATATATATATATATATATATATATATATATATATATATATATGATCAAGGAGATTGATCATTTATTTAATCTTCAGAATACATGCATATCATCTGCCTCAAGATTATGATCATGAGTTTGAGACACCACAATAAGCCTTGAGGCTATATGTGTCTTTCTTCACACCAGCCATACAGAAGTAGTCCATGAACTCTCCATAATCAAAAGGCTTGAACAGCAATGGATATTCTTCATCCACCATTTCTTTCGGGGGTTTCACGAGGCTCCCGATTTTAGGCAATGAAAATAAACCGACAGATAGCCGAGTCTTCTTGTCATTCATCACCACCCTATGGAATGGCGCATGCAATCGCCCATTCGAAAGTACCTGTATTTGCAACATCATAATTATCAGTTATAGGGCCTCTTTCTTAGCAGCTTAATTAATGAGCTTAATGAAACTCACAACTTAGCTTATTCAGTCAGCTAGATTAATGATATAAAAAGTGACTTATGCAAAAATCAGAGTTTTGTCCAAACCTCCCCTCTCACTCATTCTATTTATCAAAAACCTTCCTAATCTATATAGACAGATTAATCCATACAGACAGTTTTATCCATATAGGACTTAATGGAGAACCAACTAAACAGCCCCTTAAATCTACTAACCATAATTTGCTATGTAACTAGTGTTCTTGGATACTTACATTGAAACTTTCCCCAGCCATGACCACGAAGGAATTCGGTGAAACATTTACAGTGAGCCAATCTCCATCTTTGGTCCGAATCTCTAGCCCTTGAATTCCATTTTGATGTAAGATCGTCAAGATACTTGTATCGGCATGAGAATCTAAACCCATGGTGGATTCACTCGGATCCGCTGCTCTATATTTCATCACCTTCAGATGGTAATTTGTTGCTTCCAAGTGTTCATCCAAATACTTCTCCAGATCCAACCCCTCGAAAACCATCATCTTCACCATTTCATCGAGCTCCCACAGCTTCTTCGAGTACGTCTGGATACTTTTCCTGCATACAGATGTTGTTTTTACCATCCACTAATCTTGAAATGAAACTAGTAAGTAGTGAATTGAATATATATATATATATATATATAGAGAGAGAGAGAGAGGGGGGGAGGGGGAAAACCCAAAAAAAATGAAAATGAACACTGCCTAATAACCGTTCATCTGTATGGTATATACATGTGCATGCAAGTAATTAAAGATATGAGTATGTTATGCGCATTTGCATACTGGAAAATTACTTATAAATTACTTGTATGCGTATCTGCATGTCGTATAGATGAACTGTTAGTAGAGTGTTCTTCAGTCTTTCAATTACATATGTGTGTGTGCACATACGAAAATTTAGGGTTTCCTTGAGGCCACATGAGACTGGTGAACTTATCAACTTTCTCCGGGATGTAAGGTGCGTCAATTCCCATGCTTTCATAGAGAGGCATGAACGGGATTTGTCCGATATACCCATGAAAGTCTCGATCAGATGTGTTTCCTTGCTTGGTTTCCAGTGGGAGGTTGAAAAGTTGTTCAAGTCCATCGAATACAGACTCTTGAAGATCAGATGAGATTTGAGCAAAAGTTGCTTCAAAGCAACCGTATTCTTGAAGGGCTTGAAGAGCTTTAGTTTTTGCTGAATCCCAGATAAGACTGTCTGAATCTTGTTTATATAGGTCTGAGAAATCAACAGTAGGAAGCTGAAATGGTGCTTCTGAACCCATCTTGGTCTGAATCTTTAGTTTCTAGCTAGCTTAATTTTTCTTCTTCTTTCGATGAACAATGGCTTTCTATTTTCTAACTGCTACAAAACCTCTCTTTTAAAGTGGATTCTTAGCCGATTTATCATTCGTAAAATGAGTAAAACAACGAGGAAATAATGGAATTTAACATATAATCACCACCTTCGAATCTTTATTCGTATTAAATCGTATAGAAAAGGATGTTTCTTGGCAGCTAGTTCATAGATTAATCAGAAATCTACTTGAATTCATTGGTTTTGTCAAAATCCAAGAAAAGAGTTCATGGAATCTAGTAACCTGATAAATCTATGGAGGGTTGGTTTAGAATCCATTAGATTTCTTGTTTGGTTTCTGGTGGGTTTTTGTAGAGTAGCAAGGAAATCTCTTGGTTAGAATGCTGGTATGAGACAAAAAACAAGATTCTTGATCATTTTTAGGGTTTTTATTGTTTCACTCATACCTGTTTCTTATGTTAGGTGTACAAATGATGATCTATTTGTAGAAATAGGAGATGAAGAAGGGTTTCTCCCAATGGGAATCGTCCTAAAAGACCTCTACTGTAACGGACTATTTGCAAAGTATGTGGTAGCCCTAGGATTAGCCGGCTCGCATAGCGGGTTGGATATCCAGGTTAATAAAAAAAGAAGTTAATATTGTTATTCATGATCTACTAAAATAGAATTTAGTCGAGTTTGTTACATACGTTTAGATATTGATTAGTCTAAACTCACGTCTTAATAATAATGACTTATTTTGTAAAGACCAAAAGATATGATATACCCTGGTCTCATCATTCTCATTAAAGCAAGAATGAATTGGATCGCGGAGTACCTTCAATAAGCGGGACTCTTTTACGTTTTAGACTCCTATAGTTAAACCTGAGAGGTAATGACTAGTGGTGGCAGTTGCACTACCGGTACTGATAGCTAGAAAATCATAGTCGGAACACAAATGGACTGGATCAGAAACAGTGGAAGGGGCCAAATAATTTTATATTTAAAACCTTAATGGACTGGAGATGTTTCACTCTATCGGGGAATAAAACCAAGGGCCAAGGCCCCTATATGGCCATCCGCCCCTGTAAGAAAACAAGTGTTTCAACAATTAATCACTTGGTTGTGGTACACTGGTTAAGTCTTAGAGGGATGTAGTGAAAAATCTTATCTACCTCAGGTTCAAATCCAGGCACTACAAAAGCCGTTAAGCTATGGAGGTTCACCTGCGACTGCGACGACTCCAACTCTAACTCCAGGCCATTCGTGGTTGTCGGAAGGATTAGTCGGTGCATGAAAAATGTACGAAAATCCACGATTACCCAAAGAAAAAGTATTGTAACAATTTGCTACGATGCCCAAGTGACTAATTCATGATACAAATGAAAAGAATCTGTAAGGGGACGGTAATCAAATGAAAACTATGAAAAGGTAGAGAACCAATCTCAGCCATCTAATCATTTTAATCTAACAACCTTAATTAATGTTTCGTTTATAATTAAGGAAAGATATGATGGTAATTTTTTTCTTTTTCTGATTATTTTTCATTTCCCTTTTTTATACATATATATCAAAATCTAGAATAAATTATTATTTTGTTTTAATTCAATCTTAATAAGATATTTTAATTTTTATTAATTGATAATAATCATTTATATTTTATTAGTTTAGTGTATTATTAATTTAGTTTTCAGACGTTACTTTCTCAAATATACAGTATCTACTATTAACATATGGGAAAACATACATTTTTTATTAAATATACATGACTATTTTAAATAATAAAAACATCACATGAAAAAACAAAAATATAGTAAATATTAAAAAAAATGTAATTAAAATATCACCTGTAAACACTAAAGTTTTATTTAACACAATGAAATAATGCAATATCATTAAAGTGAAACAAAACTAGTGTTGTTTGACAATGTAAAGACAAAACAAAGTTGATGTGAAATACGATGAAACACTAAAATGTTCTTTCATATTGTGAAACAACATAATGTTGCTAATGTTAAACAATAAATTGTTGTTTTCACCAGGTGAAACAGTGTAGTTTTGTTTCAGAATTTGAAAAGCTGATGTAAGCATACCTCAATCAAATTTACGTAAATAATTTTTTTTCCCTTTTCTTTTAATTTGAAAACCAAGTTTACACAGATTCGATTAGAACGAGAATTTGATTGAAAAAATGACTAAAAAATGAATTTGATCGAAGAAATTTACTATTTTGACCAATTTCTCTTGGAAGTAACGATTACAATTTATTAGAAAAAGAAGCTTTTATTTGTTTGTAGGACGATTATAAAGAAAAGCAAAGAGCGTATTGTTAAAAAAAAGTATCGATCTCATTAGCATCAATACCAGATCTCATCAATAGAACAATCTTTTAGAAAAAGAGAAGACATTTAAATGGTATCTCTTTTTTTTCACGAAAAAGCAGATATAAGATAACAAATCTGATGTCTCATCAAATTTCGAACAGCGGTCCCCTTAGCCTAGCAAAATGACACAATACGAAGGAATGTTCTGTGTGTATGTAAGAAACTATCTGATATGACTTCCGAGTTCAAAGTTCTTAACCTTCAAATACAAATCATGCTTAAAACTATGCCAAACCGTGAAATTAGAAGTTGAAAACTATCACAGTTGATCTCAAAAGTCAAAATGCACACAGAAAAGAAAGTATTAGATGTCTTTTGCCAAATGCTTACCAAAATTTATCTGGTATGCATATGTGCATAAAAACCAAGAAACAACTTCAATTACTTGTATGCACATGTGTATAATTTCCAGATGAATGGTTATCAAGATGTTCCTCAGTTTTTTTTAATTTTTTTTACGGTTTTTCCCTAAATCTGACCTTATATATATTACGCTTTTGTCAGATTTTTTATTTACGTAACGAATTTCCAAGATTGTTAACGTAAGAGATGCCCATAAACAACACTAAGCAAGTGAACCATAAGCCACCAAGTCCCAACAAGATCACTGGAAATTTTCCTGACTGTTTTCCAGTTTCCTGGAATTAGTCCAAGTGCAAAGTGAACCAGAACACCACTTTGCTTGTATTCATATGATCAATATGCAAACTGATCATAAACAAGTTGATCTTCAAGGATATATATATATATATATATATATATATATATTGTGTGTGTGGATAGGTATATATATGACTTGGGATCATGTGAGACTAATGGTTTTTCGTGAGACCCGTAAGACCAATTCTCAACCCTTGGATTAGATCTACAATTTGAACATTTATAATCACAAAATTGCCACGAGAATTCTCAATAATCACAAAATTACCACTGTGCAACTTTAGACCATAGATTATTAGCTTATAAAGTTGATCAATGAACATAAATAGGTCTTACGGGTCTCACGAAAAACTCTTGGTCTCACGTGAACCCAACCCTATATAAATATATAGATATACAGATACATATCTAAAAAGAAAATAGAAAAATACAGAGAGACCTTCTTCAGTTTCACCAGAAAGTTTCCATTCATTCTAAAATTCCAATCTTTTAAACTTCTTATAATTCTAGAATTCCGATATCGAACCACATCATTTTCAAGACCACTATTCGACCCCGAGTACTCGAAGTCAAACCATTCCATCTTTGACCAATTCTTCTAACCCTCTCTTTAGCCTCTCCGACGCAAGTCTGCAATCTTTCTCCACCAGACCACCGAACGAGATCCTAACATGACCTGGACACCCACATGGGGTTCCCGGAATTAGAACCACACCATGCTTTTTAGCGAGCCAACGGACCACTTCAAAGTCATCAATGAACTTATCTGGTAGCTTTGCCCAAAGGTAAATGGCACCTTCTCCACCTTTAACAGCACCTTCCCCTAATGGTGATAATGCATCAATAAGAAGTAGTTTGTTGTTGACCAGATCTTTGACTTGATCAGTGACCCATTGTGAACCCACTTCCATTGAGTGAAGGGCTAATCTTTGTGAGATTATTGAAGCACATATGGGTATGTTGTCTTGAATTTTAAGGAGCTGTGGTGCTAATCCATCCACTTCTGAAGGAAATGCTATCTGCAATTTAACATATTTGTAGTGATTAGGCACATAATATCTACTCAGTACAATAAAATTGGGTTTATAGGATAAAAATGCATGAGTGACATGATAGACTGCTTTATAGGACTTAAGTTTACGGGACCAAACACTTGAGTGTCCTATCTAAAGATGTTGTAATAAGTTTACATGACGCTTTTGGGCATCTTCAAAAGATTTTTAGGACACTTTTGAAACAAAGTATAATATTACCACTTACGAAAATTGTGTCTTATAAAGTTTGGTTGGTTTTTAAATAAGTCCTATTGATATGAAATTGTCTTTTCATAGATTAATATGTCTGTATAGATTGGAAAGGTTTTTGTTTGGGAGGCTTTTTTCATAGATGGAAGAAGTGTGTTTTAGATCGCGGGGATAGGTTTGGAAAAAAATTGACTTTCTACATAAAGTTCATCCCTAAAAGCTTACTAAACAAGGCACTTTCTATATCATTAAGCCATTACCAAGTTGTCATGTATAACCGACCGAATAAGTTGTGAGTCCGATTAAAGCTCATTAAGCTGCAAACCAACAGACCTTTATAAAAAGATGTGTTTATAGGACACATTAAAAGACAAAAGCGTCCTAAAAAGTTTGTTAAAAGACCCAAAAGTATGTTACAAACTTATTACAACACTTATAAGTAGGACACACAAAGGTTTGGTCCTATAAACTTAAGTCCTATAAAGTAGTCTACTTGGACACTTGAACACTTTTGGCAGACCTATGAACTCCATTTTGTTGTAGTGTGTGTTTGTATATAAAACCGATGTACTCCTCAATCTATATGAAAATTGTTGCTCGATAACCCACAAGAATCCAACAAAAAAATTGGACCTTGAGCGTATGGAAAAGTTCAAATGAAAACCATAAATATTTCGAGAACCTGGGAACTAATGTATTATTCATGATGAATAACCATGAATATCATGTATCTTCATCATGAATATTTATCACGACATTAAATATGAATAAAGCATGAGTAGTTAGTTCTCAGGTTCTCAATATATTTACGATTCTTATTTGAACCTGACCCCATAAGCGTATATCATGTCAAAATGAGACGATACTTACATATCCAACTCGCCAACCCATCATCCCATAAGCTTTCGAGAAGGAAAAAATGTTGACGATGTGATTTCCCTCGATACACGAGTGCTTCAAACCATCATACATAAAATACCTGTTACTTGTGACGGTTAATTTCCAGCTAAGATACAATCTTGAAACATTGCTACAAAGTTAACTTCAAAGATGTTCTTGGACAAACGAAGCCACTTACTCATATGTGTTATCTACAACAAGCCAACATCCCGCATCTTTGCAGATATCTGATATTTTCTACCAAAAAAGAAGAAAAAACATTGGTTTAAACTATCATTAGAATCATCCTGTCATGCATGGTTTCAAAAAAAATCTTTTGAGGCGGCCCAAAACCGCACGACAGTATGGTGAGGTGGTGTCAAGGCCTACCCCTCAGATAATCTGCTTTCGTAATGGTTTTTTTGATCTTTTTACAAGTTTTATGACAGTAGTAGTACTTCTCTTTATAGTATAACAGTCTTTTTTTTGTTTTTAAAAACTAAAAGAAAAAGCCCAATGGTCCCAATATGTACTTTTAATATTTTAATAACCAAAAAAGCCAGTACTTTCTCCTTTCAATCAAAAAGTCTGGTTTGACCCACAAATTCCTCAAAGCAAACAATTTTTCCACACCCTCTCAACCCATCTCACGTTTCACTCTTTTCTTTGTCAAGAACCACTGAGCCAACGCCTCTTAATAATTTAGTATTGTATATAATATATATATATATATATATATATATATATATATATATAAGTACATGAAGGGTTGCGTTCTGGTGAGAAGGAGAGTTAATTCTCCTTCTCACACGACCCTTCACCTATACACAAATGTATATATATTTGTGTAGTAGATATACATACTTTGGTGTGAATATATTTCCGCCTCGAGGGGCGATCCGTCTTTTAAAACCTTGGTTGTCATGATATATATATATATATATAGAGAGAGAGAGAGAGGGAGAGAGAGAGAGAGAGAGAGGAGAGAGCGTACCTTCAAAAGGGGTTCTGGGATGTAAGTGCCAGATGGATTCCCTGGATTAACAACTGTAACAAGCTTTGGTGTTGGTTTAGTTTCCCGCAAAGTTCTTTCTAGCCAATCTAAAGTTCATGAAATTTGTATAAGGCGATATACGAATCCAAGAGAAATAATTTGATAAAAAGACAGCAACTTGATAAAGATTTCCATCGAAGCATAGGATGTGTGAGAAGGGAAGTTACAGTGAGAAGCGCAAGAAGAGATCTGAATCCTTGATCACTTTTAATCTCATGCCCACCCATGAATTGCGCTTTAGAAGGGAATTGATCTGTTGCATCACGGTGGGCCTCATGAGTGTTGACATTCAATTAGGATTGATCCAAGGGTGGAGATATCTTCTTACGCTTCTCATCATAACTTCCTTTCTCACTCGAACCCAACCCTTTCCATCGATATATAAACTTCCGCAAATCCAAATGCGCAGCATAACAGAAGTGGAATCAGAGGAACAGAAAAATATGAAAGATAAAGATTTCTTGATCTATAATCAGGCTTAACTCTTAAGTGCCATGAGTGAACCTTAAATATTTTAGGAACCACCCTTTTTGTGAGTATTCATGATGAATAATGTGATAAAATATTCATTATGAATGTTGTGACAGATATTCATGATGATTAAATACTCACAAAATAGGTGGTTCCTAAAATATTTAGGTTCCTAATTGTTTGGTTGCTTTTTTAACAAGTCTTGTATGGATAAAGTTGTCTGCATGAATTAATCTGTCTTTATAGATAAGGAAGGTTTTTGTTTGGGAGGGTTTTTTCATAGGTGGAATGAGCATGTTTTTTAAATGGGAAGGACCATGTTGGAAAAAACTTGGCTTTCTGCATAAAACTCTCCCCTAGAAGCTTACTGAATAAGTCACTAACAAACAGTCATGTATAGCTGACCGAATGAGCTGTGAGTCCCATTAAGTTCATTAAGTTGATAACAAACAGAAATGAACCTGCCCCTAAGTGTCATTTTACACACCTTTGCTGAAGCACCAATATAGAGTACACCATTAAATCTTTATCTCCCATATAAGAAAAAAGTTGTCAACATATCAAGTTTGAAGTTCAAATGTAATCCCTTTAATGAAAATCTCTTTTTTCAAGAACCGACAACAAATTCAGATGTACAGGAAACAGAAAATGAGGTAAATAAATATGTCGTTCTGATAAAGCTTGAACCTGCATCGGGGTGAAGCGTTTTTGGATCACCGGGGCCCACCAGAATGTCGGTAACGCCTGTCATTTGGAATGACATGTAGGCATTGAAGTAGTAAGGTGCAAACATAACGACTGAATCCCCAGCATCACAAAGTGCAAGAACAATATTCACAAATGCCTGAAAGAAATTATAATCGCGTAAAATCCTTGTAAAAGATCTTAAAAATTATAGCTTGATCAACTAAACAAGCAAAAGGAATCAGCCCCAGATACCTGATTTGCGCCTGCAGTGACCATCACCGAGGATTTGCATAACTTATTTTCATCGCGCAACTGCAGAGCACAATGAAACAAAGAAAATGATGATACGGGTCCTTTGGATAAATGACCTTAAATGCGTTTTCAATAAAGAACACGACCTTCTATAACTTATTTAGCTCAAGGACCTTCATCTGAACTGCATTTTTCCATTAAGTCGTGTATGGATATAGCTGTCTGTGTGGATTAATCTGTCTGTATAGATTCGGAAGTTTTTGTTTGGGAGGGTTTTTCTCAATAGATGGAAGGAGCATATTTTTTAATTGGGAGGGGCAAGTTTGGAAAAAACTCGGCTTTCTGCATAAAGCTTCCCCCTAGAAGCTTATTGAATAAGCCATTTTCTATATCATTAAGCCACTACCAAACAGTCATACATAGCTGACCGAATAAGCTGCAAATCCCATTAAGCTCATTAAGCTGCTAACAAACAGACCCATAGTTTAAAACACTAGAGGGTCATTTTTATATAATGAGCTTATGGAGAAGGTCATTGAGCTAAATAGCCCGTGCTTAATGGTATTAAGCTAATAAATGAAACCATAAGAAGACATTCATATAAAGACCATAATCGATATAGTGTTTAAGAAGACCTTTTTAGTCAATGCTTCCCTAAGTTCAGGAAGACCTTCATCGGCACCATAACGACTGATTGAAGGCTCCCATACAAGCTCTTTCACCTTCTCCAATGCCGGTTTTGGTGGTTGCCAGTACACAACACCCTGTATTTTCAACAAAGAAACAAAGATCGCAAAGAATAATCAAATATGTTTCTTGATTGCAGATCCCAAATGCATCAGAGAACTTCAAATCCAACTCCAAATGATGGATTTTAATCTTAAAAACCCTACTTTCTTGGAAGATTCATCCAATTCTTTGAAACTTGAAGGAGAAGATCAGGGAGATGTGTTCATCATCATGTCTCCTCCATTGCAAGAGTTGAAATCCAAAAAAGATGTTCAGAAAACAAGAACACAATAGTAAAAAGTAACCAAATGTTCATTGATCTTTGTGAATTTTGAAAATTGGACTGTAATCAGGATAAAATAAAGAGTTTCTTGAAATCAAACACCAACTAATTAACATAGAGAAGATAAACAACCTGAGCTAGGGATATGGCACCATTGATACCTCTAAGCAATTCTTGTATCTGCAAACATCCCCACAGTTTCATCTTAAACAATTAACACACATATCCCCAAAACGATAAATAAAAACACACAAAAATCAAGAAAGACGGCAAACCCAGATCAAAACAGTCATGAATTTAAACACCCAATTCCCCAAAACAAGAAAACCCAATTGGGATTTGAGACCATAATTTAGGGCTTAAAGAGAGTGAAATTGACCTGAACCATGACTGGTGTTTCGGTGGACACAACCCTCTTTGCTAACATTCCGTAAGAACCCATTTCCGTGAATCGTGTCTAATAATTCTGTCTTAATAAACAAAAAAAGATTCACCTACCCCCTAAAATGAAAAGAAGGGGGTGAGTTTTATCAATCCAAAATCCCCAATTTGAGAAAGGTAATGAAGAAGTAAGATCATGAGAAATCAGATCTTTAATGGGTGAGATAAGAGATGAGGATACGGAAATTAAGCTTTTGTTTATGAAGCTGAACAGAGAAGATGCCAAAAAGATGAATTGCTTTCACAACTACTGGTTTATATCTGAACGTATTGGCGTGATTCAGATAAATATGCTTTTATTGACTTGTAGCTCACAAAAAAAGGGGGTTTATCTCTCTCTCTCTCTCTCTCTCACTAAACAAAAAACAAAAAATCCATTTCTTAATCGTCTCTCTCTCTCTCTCTCTCTAAACAAAAGGAGATAAATTATGAAAGAAGAATATAGAAAACAAAATTGTAGTCAAGTGTATACTGCAATGAACAGAGTGTCAGTGACGATGGAATCTCCCACAATTCCGCTTGAATTTAATCGTGGGTGGGTGGTTTGTCTACTCCCCATTTGGACGATGGTGATGACGATGATTGTGAACGAGATTCGAAGAAATTTACCTGAATATGATCTGTGATGATGATGGAATTGATTAGGAGGAAGTGGTAGCTGTTTTTGAACGGGAGATAAAATGAAGGAAAAGGTGTCGTTTTTATTGATATACCATTTAAAAATACATCTTTTATAATGATATATTTGGTAGTTTTATAATGGCCAAGTTACATGAAAAAGTAACATATTTTAATTTGATTTTTATTTTATGTAATGTATTTTTAAATTTTTTATTTGGTATCTAAAATCTAAAATTTTAAACATTTAAGTAACCGATTGAACCATTAACGATAGTTCATTTATTATGATTTGAATATTTATGAAAGATGACTATAGTTTATTAATTATGATCAATACTTTATATTAGAAAACAATCAAAACTTTAATAAAATTACATACTCATCAAATTAAATGGACGGTTGAAATTGATTTGTATTGGTTGTACAAATGTAAATGGTTGCATAATAACTTACCTCTGTAAAACTATCCAACATTTTATTATAAATGACAGTTAAAGTGTATATTTGTAAAAATGACATCTTTCATTTCCTTTATCTCTTGTTCAAAAACATGAATAATTATTATTTTTCTTTTAATTTACTTTATTTTCCTCCTTCTACGGAATACAAATAAAAGAATTATTTTATTTTCGTTTTTTCTTCTCTTCTCTTCGCTCACCAAATTCAAAAACATAACGTAAAGGATTTTAATTTCTTTCCATCTTTTTCATTTCCTCCCACATCTGGGATGAAAATTATCAGTATTTTTCTTCTGTTTTCTTTCCTTTATCTCCTAAAAAGTTTCAAGAACATGAATTTTTTTAGTTTCGTAAAAGAGGTTTTGAGAATACAATGTTAGAGCATCTTCGACAGATTATCTAAAATAAAGAAAATACAGATTTCGTACTCTATTTTGAGTTTTGGTTTTCTATCTTAGAGAAATTATAGAAAACCTGTTGGAGATATTCTTATCAGCCCAAAGTTCTTGTGGTTATGGAGGTTTAAATCTTGGTCGTTTGGGGATTATGATGGGTGTAAGCTAACCCCGATACTTATGGTTACAAAAATATCTTTCTTTATCTGTAAAATACAATTTAGGTTTCACTATTACAAGACGTGATTTTTTAAATGCTGATTGGAGCTTTTTTTAGTAATTATTGATGTTAAGGTTAGTTTATGTATATATCGACTTTGAATATAACAGTTAGACAAATCTTTTGTTGTGATTATAAGAAGACTCTACCTAATCACAGGGGTGGTGTCTGATTGATCTGAACTTGGGCTCCAAAGGTCAAAAGTACCTGGAGATCTCGGGTTCAACTCCAAGGAGAAATAAAAATTCTCTTGTGGCTACAGAGGTTCAAATGCGGTGACTCCGAGCTACGTGCAAAGCAGGTGGTTGCCCTAGGATTAGTCGGTTCACATAATAGGTTGGATATCCAGATTAATAAACAAAAAAAAGACTCAATCAATGACTACTGGGGAGCAAACTCGTGACTGTACTGGCTGAACTATCTTAAAGTATTAGGTTGGTGGTGGTTGTGAACAAGAAAAAATCTTATAAATCAACATCAGAGTATTCAATACAAATTGTACGTACGGAAAATAGACGTCTTTAAAGCGTCTTCAATTGAGTACGATGGCCCACAATAATCTATTTGTAGTAATTTGTTGTGTTTTATTTTGGTAAGTATTTTTTTTTTGAAGTATATAATATTTATATACGGCAAATGCAACAAATAAACTCAGACGTCCTCTTCACCTTAACCCTTGACTTACTAAGAGGTCAAAGAATCCGACACTGTTAGGCCAAAGACCCTTTGATTACACGGGGTATATTGATGAAATAAGTTGTACAAATTTGGTAAACGAAATCTACTTTTTTTTTTTTTTGGATGGTTGGATCTTATTCTTGAATCACATACTGTCGTTCTTGATTTTTTTTACTGAGTCTTGTGGTCTTACGATGTACTGTTATAAAAAAATGAAGTATTTAATCAAAGTGTTTCTTTATTGTTTGACAACTTAAGGGGCCGTTTATCAAAATACTTACCGGTAAAATTCAACATTATTGCTTACTTACTGGGTAAGACTTTATTCACTAAAACGCTTCGTATGCAACAATTCATCCCGATAAGCGCTAATCATCGTAAGAGTGGTCGCTCTTACTTACGGTGTAAGACTTTCGGTTCTTGCTTTCGCTATTACCGGGTAAGATTCTTAGTCTTTGTCATATTCATCCGGTAAAATAAAGTGACTTGGTAGCGCTTACCCGGGTAAGCGTTTGGTAAACGGCACCTTAAATCTACATACAAAAATCAGTATTATGTTTTCAAAAGAAAATATGCAAAATCATCGTATTTAAACCTCTGTGGCCATAAGAGGATTTTTATTTCTTCTTGGATTTGAATATGGAACCTCCAGACACTTTTGACCTTTGAAGCCTGACATATACAATACTTGAATTTACGGTGTAGACATAGTTGGTTCTCAACCCACCCATGAGTAAATATATCATAGTAGCCTTATTAGACCGTACATCTTTCTTATTCATCGTTTCTAACCCTACTTCGTCTTAATTATTAAGCTTAAACCAATCAGACATCACCCTTGTGATTAATATTTTTGTATTAATTGACAGAGAAAACGGTAAAAATAAATTATATAATAATCATTTGTTAATAAAAAATATGTTTTAAAACTAAAACGTTATATATATATAGGGTATATTTCTTTTACAACCTTGTGTATTTGTACAAC